TAGAGATTACGTCGATTTTAAAGTGGTTCGGTCAAATGACCTACATCCACTTGCGAGGCCCCTCTTCGATAAGGCTCCCACCTTCCACTAGCAAATCTCTTGAAGGGGAAGGGTAAATACCCCTCTTACAACTTTTTACAAGCGGTTCACTTTCTTACAGATTTTCAGTAAGAAAGAAGGAGGTGAACACTAGCAAATTGAAAACAAGACTAGCTAAGACTTTTCTAAGACCTTTCTCTCAATCAATTGCTTCTCAAAAAGTTGTGATCTCAGCTGAGATTTGAGGGGTATTTATAGGCTTCAAGAGGATTCAAATTTGGGCTCCAAAATTTGAATTCTCTTTGGTTCCCGATGCTGGCGGTGCCACCGCCTGTCAGTTTGACAGTGGACTGGCGGTGCCACCGCCCAGCTCTCGGGTGCTGGGCGGTGCCACTACTAGACCCTTCGGTTCACTAGGCTTTAAATTTAGCCCAAACCAAGTCTAATTTTGGGCCCAGTTAGCCCTTAACCAGGATATATGATTATCTCTTAATCATAATCCTAATTACAAGTGAACTACATAACTAAAAACATCCTAAGCAAGTTTTCAACCGTGAACGTCGAGTCTTGTTCCGGCGAGCTTTCCGACGTACTTCTTTCGACGAACTCCCAGCAAGCTCCCGATCTTGTGATGACTTCAGTAAGTAGCCGAGCCTTCTTGGTGATCTCCGCGAGCCTCCGACGATCTCTTCGGCGAACTTTCGAAAATTCCGATAGGTTCCCGATTTCTTCTCGGTTGGTTCCGGTAGCATCTCCGACGATTTTTCGAACTCTCAAACGTCCATCGAACTTGACTCCGGTATTCTTATTTTATGTTTTCTGATTATCATAGTTAATCCTACACACTTAACTCAATAATATGGATTAGATCAATTAACCCATCAATTGATTTTATTATCAAAATCCGAGATTCAACATGGCTCACACCGACAAGGCCCAGCGATACATTTATTTACATGAACCTTGAGCAAACAGCATCTTCGGGGCGGGAAAGTGTATCAATGAGCAGGCGAAGAATGCGATTACACACATTAACAGATGTCACTCAGTGGATTGTATTGGCAAGTAGGAAGCCAGAGTAAATGCTTTGAACGGTGATCCAAAGTAGAACACAAGCCGTTCGAATTAAAACGTGCCAGAGTTGGACGTACAGGAACAGACCGAAGCCCGTGGACCGTGTCCGGGCCATGCCGTCTAAAAGGAATTATATATATATATATATATATATATATATTGAACATTTCTCAAACGCTACCCTCATTTTTTTAACAGTATTCCTAATTTAAAACATATTTAAATTATCCCTAAAAAATAATTTCACTTGTTATCACGTTTTTGGCTTGTTATAGTATTTTGGCTATCAAAATAAAAACACTATAAAATCTATTTAAAAATACTATAAATAATTAAAATAAAATTTTAATATAAACCAAATTAACTACAAGCCTATAATTATGATACTATGATAATCTATGAGAAATGACGACCAAAGAGATAATGTTACTTACAAGTGTTTTTTTAGTAACGTTTATAATATTTTTCATTACATCAATAAAACACTGTAAATTTTATTAAAAAAAACACTATAAATGAGTCTAATAAAAACATTATAATAGTTGAAATTTGATTTTAAAATGAGCGAAAAATACGATGGAAATTTTTTTAAAATATTTTTTGAGTATTTTAAAATTAAAAATATTATTTTAGAAAAAAAAAATAAAAGAGTGAGTCGAGAGGAGGGAAAGCCGCTTAGGGCCACCTCCAGTTTGGCTTATATTACCGGCCGCCAGATCTTGAGCCGAATCAAAGGCTCGGTTCGGTTCGGCCCGGTTCGAGTGAAATAGATCGAAGCAAACCCTGAAAGCCACTATCGACCCGTTTCCTTTGTCGATTAGTCGAGTCCTGCTCACAGCTTTCACCCATAAATGAAGCGAGAGTGCAAAGCTATTTCTAAGCATCAGATGGAGAATCATGGCAAGTAGCTAAAGATGGAGATCAGCTTGTTTCAACATTAACTTGTGTCCATCAGAATGAAGCACAGACAAATCATTGAAACAATTGAAATGATTCACAGATGAATGACCCCTATAAACTTGGCAAAGTTGGCTTTTGAAGAGTGTCCCATCAGCTCATCGGCTCTATATGTTACAGCGAGCCAAAGCTCTGCCATCTACAAGTCATCTTTTACCCATTCATATCGGCCAGGCAGCGGATGCTCGGTTACAGGATCAAAGTTGTACCTACAAATAATAAGATCAAAGGGAAAGAAGTGTGAGGAACATCTGCAATGTGGTGGATCGAATCATAATTGTGAGGAACATCTATAGAAAGGCGTACCTTTCTAAAAATATTCGTTGTTGGAGTTGCTCTGCAGCAGCAAAAAACTCTTCCATCTCATGAGCAGTAGGGCTGCTCTGCTTAACAGTGACTGCTGAAATGGTAGATCTGCTTGTAGGATCTCGGTCCCTAATCAAACTGCAAGGTATGGTCTCCCTATCATAGCTGAAACCAACACAAAATTCTCACTTAATCATATGAACTTTTAATGTCTTTCGAATACTATGAATTCAGATAAAACATTGTCAAAGGCAAGTTCACAAGAAAAAGTTCATAGAGAAACTAGAAAGATGGTTCATTTTAAGTCAGTTTTGGTTGTACAAATTGGATACTGACTTCCACTAGCAGGAAGACAGCAAGTGAATAAATTCTAATACCAAGAAAGAAATGTAAAGGCAGATGGTTCAAATTCAAAGAACTACTGAAGTAGCAGAAAGAAAAAGGAGATGAACTAATTTCAGGTTAATATTTCTATCAGCATAGGCAATCTAGAGAAATATGTCCCGACAGTACAAACATCAGATAATGACAGGACATTACAAACAGAAATGCTTCCACAATAAATGATGATAGAAAGAGAAGGAAAACGATATACTTCCACGAGAAAACATAGACAGAGACATATCATTGGAAGTAACATCAAGTCCTGACCTCGAAAGATGATTCAAGAAAGAAAACAGACAAAACAAACAAATGAAAGTATAATGGGAAGAACAAAAGACGAAAAGGTTCGATTTTTACCCAAAATTTTAGCGAAACCCACCTGTCCCTCGCACCGGACTCCAAAATAGTCTCCCTGAATGACACCTCGGTATCCGCTGCGACCGCCGAGCACCTGCTCGTCGAGACGGACCCCGGTGACCGAAAATCCACCCTCGCGTCAGGGCCAGGCTTCTCGGAGTTGCATGAGGGAGGAGGCGAGAGGGGCTTCTCGAGGCGGCGGCTCCGGAGCTCGAGGTAGGCGCGGGACGAGTCTTGGCCGGTGGCCGCGGCGAGGGACCGGGCCCGTGTGCGGACGCCGAGGGAGGAGTGGTGGGACACCTCCATGACGGCGGCCTCGCCGGAGAGCTTGGCTTTCCTAAGATACTTGCCCATCTCCTGTACCTCTTGTTCTCTACACTGCGCATATACTACGGAAAGAACGAAAAGGAGCAGAGGGGACTCGGTGGCGGAGGGAAAAAGGGGGAAAGGGATGAGTTTTGAAGGCCAAAAAGGAGCGACGAGGAAGTGTAAAATGACATCTTTACCCCGGAAAATTTTTGAGCTCTTTAGATATTTGCTTTAAATAGTAATAATTTTTACACGTTAATCAAGCAAGTAATCATCGATTGATATCTCGAATGTCATGGGGGGCTTTCCCGCCGATGATACCGCAGTACTTGCCAGATTCCCGCCAAAATCAACATGTGAATCGGAGGTATTCTCGAGACGCTGCAGGCACATCTTCCATAGTTTCCTGTTAAGCTAAAAGGCATCAAACACCGCAGAAATCTCATCCTCATTTTGCTAGGAGGAGTAGAGCGAGAGAGCTTCTCCCAGCTTTCCCAAATTCCAATCACATTCCTGCTGGATACGGCGACGACACGTTCCGATGGCCAATGAGAGGCAGCGGAGGAAGAATCTCCGTACGAAGCACTTCCCGATGAGCTCTCGAGAGTGCGGTGAGTTCGTTCATCCACCAATAGAGGGAGGGAGAGAGACGACGAAGGCCGAGTCCTTTTCAGCGGGGGGGGGTCAGAGAGGGAACAGTAAGTCCATGAATGGAGGACAAAAGACCGACCCTTCACTGACGCTGCAACAGTTCCCAAGTGCAGCAATGGTGGAGTCGAACGCTGTGAGATCAGCTTGGCGCTTTCTCGTGGGGGGCGGAGGCATAGGCATAGCCCACACGATAAGGAGTTCACACGAAAGCTTTCTTCTTTCACTCTGAGTCACATCAACTGTTTGCCGCAGCTCCAGCTTTCATGCATGATGGTTGCTACGGACAACACGTTGCTTTCCTGATGCAAAGTGCAAGGAATGCTGCTATAATTACTGCTCACGATATGCATGTCTTTTGTATTCAGATGAAAGATCAAAAAGAAGAGCGAGAACCAATGTTCAAAGGGGAATGTTGATAGTTCTATGAGATTAAGGATCTCAGTCGATAATCATGTCGCATAAACAGTTCATTTAATATAAAATATCTAAAAACACTTCTTGTATCATAAAATATTTTCTAGCTGAATCAGTTATAAAAATAATTTTCTTCTTTCTTTTGACTTAAGTATCATCGTTTCCGAAAACTCCATCTAACTTTCATCATTTTAGGCATATGAGATTCCTTGGTTACACTCGAAGAACCGATCCGATCAAAATTAACGAACAAAGAGATTATAAAAGAGTGTTAGAGATTATATATATATATATATATTGAAGTGAGCTTTATATATCTTTTAGGCAAAACTTTACATTTTTGGGGAATGTTTTCCTGTTTTTGGAAAAGGGAAGAGCCTCTACCAAGCCAAGCTAATGAGAGGAGCTTCATGTAACTTTAGGCCCATGAAAGACCCAACTGTTAGGGTTGTTGTTTACATACCATTCATGGGCCGAAAGAAGGCCCAATTTGCCGTTTAATTGGCTTCGTCACGGGTTCACATTGACACGGTGAGTCGAAAGCGAGGTGGGTATGTTGTTCCTACGCGGTGGTGGCGGCGGGGGAGCTGCTGCAGTTGCTGGTGGAGTGTTTTCGCGGTACTTCTCGAGGAAGCGCAGCCCTGACCTCCGCCGTATAAACCCGAAGGTGCCCACAGAGGAGGCCACCGTGATCTCCCGAAACCTCTACCGGATCGTCAAGAACAATGGTCCCCTCTCCGTCTCCCACACTTGGAACCACGCCAAGGTGACAAAGCTCGGATCTTTCTGCCATACTTGCTCTCTCTGTGCTGGTTCTTTATCAGAAAGAAATGGCCCACGAAAGAAAGAGGCGTAATAAGAGCTTCTTTAGGCATATAGACTGTTCTGCTCTCTTTCTTTTATGAAGCAATTTAATGTTGTTCACTGGTTGATAAGATTAAAAGACGTCTCCCACACTTGAAAAACGACGACCAGGTGACAAAGCTTGGCTCTTTTCTTCCATGATTCCGCTCTTTCTGTTGGTTTCCAGATAGCAAATGAGTGGCTTTCGGATGAAAGGGGAAAAAATAGCTCCTGTTAGGGTTGTAGATTGTGTTTGATTCTGTCTTTTATGTGGCCATTTAATGCTGTTCATTGGTTGCTAAGTTCAAAAAGAATTTGGGCTGTCTATCTATTGTTTGATGAAATGGCTCTGAAGTAGTTATTCCCATTTGTTTAACTTCTTCCAAACCTCTTGTGAGTTTGGGTCAAGACAATCTATTCAGTTATTATCTATGGTTTCCAATCCCATGCTAGTATATTATCCGCATTATATTAATTCTAAAGGTTATGATGTTTTGACTTCTATGGTCTGAAGGACTTCATATTCTTATTCTTTTGCTGTAGAAACACATCTATCTTTAAGCGACAGTTTGTCCTTCCTTAAAATCATAATTGAGTTTCATAAGTGAAGTAATGCTACTTCTTTCATGGTTTAGCAACTGATACCATAACAAGAGATATTATATGCTATCAATTTATCAAAATGCAACTAAATGTTGACCAGAGTATTGTTTTAAGATATTTGCTTTGCAAACTGTCACATGCAAAATAAAAACTAAAAACAATGTGATTATGCCTTTTATAGAGTAGAAATTTCATCAGAGTCATCTGAAGTACTGTGGAAGTTAACTGAAATATCATGATCTGTTTGCTGGATCTCTCAAACTTATGGAAAACTTGCTGTAGTTTTGAATTGTGATAAGATCAATCAAAGAATTTTGAGAAGAATATCTGAACTTTGTGAAATAGACAATTCTTGGTACTATTACATGTAGAACAAGAGTATTGCAGAAAGTGGTTAGCATCCTAGTCAAGAAAGAGAAGTAAAACATGTCTGCAAAAGAAAGTGTCAATCACCCCTGTGCTATCATGGAAAATTAGTCTTCTGTTAACGTCTTTGGTTGGTTACAGGAGCAAGTGTGCTTGAGTCATAACATTATATGACTCCTGTTGTCAATATGGAAGCAAGTGTTATTAATTGGTTAGCCATGGTTCTGATTTTTCAGGTAGCTATTAGATTCCTGTATCAGACATAGCTTCGGTTTTCTTGAACATTTTGCAACTATTTAGTGTTCAAGAGCATACTAAACTTCAAAATCTATTACTCTGCATCTTTAATTCTTTATATAAAAATGAAATTGGTTAGCCATGCTTCTGATTTTTAGGTAGCTATTAGCTTATTGTATTGCACATATCTTTGGTTTTCTTGAACATTTTGCAACTATTTAGTGTTCCAGGGCATACTAAGCTTCAAAGTCTATTACTCTGCATCTTTGATTCCTTATGTAAAAATGAAATTGGTTCGCCATGCTTCTGATTTTTTAGGTAGCTATTAGCTTCCTGTATTGGACATACCTTTGGTTTTCTTGAACATTTTGCATCTATTTAGTGTTCCAGAGCATACTGAACTTCAAAATTCTATCATTCTGTATCTTATGTGAAAATAACTTAGCTCTCCTATTAATTCTTCTGTTAATGATCTGAAAGTCGGGACACTGTCTGTTTTGTTAATCTCTTTCCTAGGCTTAGTGTTATTCAGACCATGCACATTCCATTATACAAACAACTCTAAATGATCTCAACTGTTTTGCTGATGAGATTTATTTATTTTGCTTTGGGCTTCATTTTGACAATGCTGATCATTAAATATGGCGCTGTTTGCTCAAGTTATGTTGATTTTTCTTGGAACAGCTTTGGCCTTAATGCCATGTAATGTTTTTCTCTTTTCGCTTGTGCTAAGAAATGGAGGAAGCTTCTGCTTTAACATCATATACTGTGCTGATTATAACAAAGCCAACTTTGATATCGGCAATGTGGTTAATACAACACTCATTTGAACAGGAAGCTGGTATCGATGGGTTGAATAGTAAGACCCATATGAAAATCTTGCTGAAATGGATGATGGGACGGAAGATGCTAAAGCTTTCTTGCACTCATGTTAGAAATGCAAAGAAGTTTCACTACTCTATCCTGCCAGAAGATCCTCAAGCTCGCAAGAATCTTAGCTCTCCCTCGCCAGCACCAGACACTACGAAGGCTTCAGGCAAGGTGGAAAAGCAGCAACAAAAAAGGTCCAGAAAGGGGAAATGAACTATGTAGCATGGCACAACTTAAACGGAAGCTGTGATCAATCTTGTTTGAGTGAGCATTGTATCTTTGTCACTGGACAAACATGTTTCAGCCTTGACAACCCAAGACCATGTTCGTGATGTCTTCTATAAGTTTCATGTGAATTTTAATGGAGTCATTTAGCTAGCGATGACAACTTCTTAGCACTACATTTGTCATGCAGTTGATCGCTTCCTTTGTGAACTCAAGTTTTGATAATAAATTATATTGGCCTGCTTGATGCTGGTGGTGGAGTACAAGTGGAGCAACAATGTCACTACCAGACTTATTTAAAATTGCTTAAATCGTGAGGTCTTTTTGTGTTATTCGCAAAGGATCAATCTAATTGACGAAACCGAGGAAAAATCTCAGCTCCTATAACTTCTTTAGTGTTTGCCACCACAACAGCATACACCTTCGACCTGTCTATTCAATCGTTGATTCAATATCCCAAGAATATATATATATATATATATATATATATATATATATATATATATATATATATATATATATATATATATATATATATATAAAAGCAAAGTATCATATTTCTCTTTTTACGAACAAAGTATTCTCCCTAAGAATCTTAAAATTGTTTAAAGATACATGACATACTTCTCGAGTGTTTGGATGTAAATGACGATGTCGTCTAAGTAAACGATCACAAACTTGTCTAGATACTCATTATACAGTTTGTTCATGAGAGTGTTGCTTAAGCTTAAAGACATCACTACAAGCTCAAATACTTTACACTTGGTTACATAAATAGTTTTTGCTCTATTGCTTGCTTGCTATAATACCACAATGTCACGATGAGATTACGCTTCCTCCACTCGTAGAGAATAGTCAATGTCTCGCTCGTTATTTTCGTTATCGTGCTTCTTTTGAGTGGCTCTAACAACTTGAGAGCGAGTTTGCATTTATAATCCACTTACGGTTGCTTGGGACAATAGTTCGGCTTGCATCATCTTACTTAATTCGCCACGATGAGATTGTGAACTTTTATTGTTTACTCAAATTGTTTGTCTACTTTGATACCACAATGTCACGGACTTAGTTGGAATTGTCTAAGTTGTGAGGCGCCCTTATGTTATTTATCTCTAAAGGGTTAACCTAGTTGCAATCTCGCTAAGATCTTAAAGGACCTGTAAAAGAGTAAATTGATTAGTTTCGAAATTGAGCGATGAACAAGTCCATGTGTCTTATGAAGATAGTAGCTTTACAAGTAATTTAACAAACATTAGTGTGCAAAAAAAAAAAAAAAGATGAATGAAAAAATAAAGTCTTTAAAATGCAAACAAACCGTTACAAATCCACAAACGAACGACTGCTCACCACCAGATGTGAGGTGCATCGGTGAATTCAATCAATACCCAATACTACCCCCAACCCTACGTCTCCCGAGTGATTATGGGGTGCTGATATAGATTATTTTGCTTCGCTCCGCGACGTATAGAATATAGATTATGACATGAAAATTGGATTATTCCGAGATATTTTTACTCTACAACCTTAGTAAATCGTTCCTCCTAATAGTTTTCAAATAAAAATACATAAAGCAAAACAAAACATGATGCCAAAACATGTATAGAAATAAATAAAAACTAATAGATCCATGGACGAAGATATTACATATGCTCAACCGTCTATCACAGAATGATATGCGAGAAGCTATTTGTTTTTTTATTTGGCAGGTCTTATGTAATCAAAATTTTTATGCCCACGATTGGTTCTTTACATGGTTCTATTTTCTTTTTAGAGCTTGTCTTATTGGCAGCAAAACGTGATCGATTTGAAGAACGTGTAATGTTCCTTGTAATATGATCACAAGAAATAAGAAATTACAGAACTTTAAAGCGTTCATGTGGAATTCGTAAACGCTTAACTAACAACAAGAATTGCATTAAAATACAAAACAACACCGATCGAACAACTCCTATCTTAACATATTTATTTCCAGTTCTTCTTGTTCACACTTTTTTTTTCTGAGAATTTATTGTTCGGACGTATTCTATATAGCACATTAGAATGCACCTTACGTATCATGGCCTTTCAGACCACGGTTTGCTATTCCATGCGGTTGTCTCTGTTGTTGGATTTGGTCAATTCATCTCATGAGATTTTGTAACGTTACTATTACTTGTAATAATATAATATAATATAGTTATTATTACTATTAATCATCGTCTCATGACCTAAGCAAATAAAAGCAGACTCCACACAAAATCAAAGGTGGCACGATCTGTCTCCGGCAAGCCAATGGCTACCTCGCCGCAGCTCGCTGCCCTGATCCCTGCCCTATCCCTCCTTTCTCTCCTCGTCGCCGTCGCCGGATCCGAGGGCTTGGACACCATCAGCGACGATGCAGACCTCTGCCGCTGATCTGAGTGCATGGACGCCATCAGCAGTGACACGGACCTCTGCAGGGGCAGATCATTGTCCTCAGCTTTGCGGTCCTCTGCAGCTTCCTGTGAGCCCGTGTAGCTATTACTCATCAATGAAGAGCGTTTGATTCACACTATTCCAAAAATTTCCCAACAACTTCGGATATCATAGCAAGGATGTAAGAAAATAAATTTCAAGAGGCAAAGTTAGTCATTCAACATTTATAGTAGCATGAATAATTCCTAGGAATAGGAGCAGCACCAAAAGCAGCCGAATACATGAAATCAAGCAGAGAAGGTGCACCTCCTCCGCAAGCCTACTTGACATATGTCAACTTATTTTTCCTGTTTCTGAAGAAGAGATGCCAGTCCTATAGGCCAGTAATTAGTAGCTGGAGGTTCTTGCTTATTGGCAACATCCGAGGATCTGCAATGTGCACAAACAGTAGAACATGAACTGAGTTATGCTACATGGGAAATAAATTGAAATCTCAAGTGATCAAAGTATAGAAAAGAACCCATAATATGCTGTCTGCTGTGCTGCGATAAAAAAAAAAACAACTCAGGAATTATCCAACACATATATAACACTTCTTTTTCTCTATTGAAATCAGATATCACCTAACAGCTGTCAAATGGAACTATACATATGATTAAATCATCCGACAGTGTGATAAATCTATATGTTGTCTTGTACTCTGAGGGGGAAGGTCTCCTAATAAACACAAGTTAAAGTGTGGGTTTCCAACTCAATTTCTGGTTGTTGGTGAGACCAAAAACATAAATTTAGCAACTTGTAGCGTACAGAAGAAAAAGCTTGGAGTGTCCATAATGCTCTCATGCATGCTCCACAATTGCTGAAGCAGCAACACCATACTCTTTTAAGATCTAATGCCAAGTCATCCATGCAAGCTTTTATCCTAAAATAGCTTTCTCTTCAAATTGGAACCACAAAATTTCCCTTCCCAAAGCTCAAACATTTTGTTCACTAGATGAATTTGCTGAAAGTCACAAGTCTTCAAGTGTAAAATGGACATTTTTGAACATTTGCCTAAGATTTCAAAATATTCAAGTGCAAAGTGCAGCCAAAGTTTTATTCTCCGATTCACTTTACTAATCCAACTGCACTACAGCTAGGTCATGCACTGCAGTTAGCAGATTATGAAATATTGACACTGGAAACAATCTTCATTCTCTACATAAGGGTATAGACTTGCTATATGTTCACTTAAATCAGTAGTATTGTTCCTACAGGTGACTAACTTCAAACAAGCTTAAGAAATAACACCCAAGAACAACGTGGAGACTAAAGAAAGACAACAAAACTATGTTACTGTCTGACAATGATCACAAACTTTGGAACTAGGTCATTTTGATTATACAGAATGATTTGAGTATCATATATTAAACTGGAAGAAAAGATCAAGGAACCATAAATGCAAAGGCAAATAGATGGATCTGCATATGTAGATGACACATACTGATAGAAAGAGATAAAAAGGATAGATGAGCCAGAGCACATACACAGGAGGCAGTGGACCCTCATAAGCAAATGTGGACATGCCTTGCCTCTGTTTATGCTTGGGATTGGCAGTACAAAGCACATAAATTCTTCCCCGACGTTTGACTGTCCTACAAAACTCACAGAGCTTCTTCACTGATGATCTCACCTTCATGGCTGTGCAAAATCAGAGCAAAAAAGTATCAGCCTCAAACTGATAGCAAGAGATGGTGTTCAGGATGCTTGATCGAACTGACTAGGGCTCTTGATCAACAAACACTAAAGACAACAAAGTAGAAAAACTTTAGTTAATATGTAGCAAAAAAAGCTTGACCAATTAAATAAGGGAACAAATGACTGGGGCTCTCGATCGACAAATTCTAGAGACAACAAAGTTTTAAAAAAAAGTTCAATACATAACAAGGAAGACTCTTTTTCATCTGACAGCAAGAAAACATACACAAGCAATGGCAATTCCTTTTTTTTCCCTTTCTAACAGCAAGAAAAGGCACTTGGAACATTATTGAACCACATGATTGAACTGTATGGGGCTCCCAATTAACAAGTATCATGTGCATTATCAGCAATCAAAAAAGAAACTAGTTAAAGACAAAACAGTTTTGACCAAGAAGAAGTTTCTAGTAAGCATAGTTAATAAAGAGAAGAGTACATGATCCTAGTGGTTGAGATTCGTTTAGGTTTAACCCAAATTCAAATACAGATCACAGCATGGATTAAAAATTGGATCTCAGGGTCCCTAACACATCAGGATTAGTCTCATTTCTACAAAGAACAAAGACCACCAACTACAAAAAGCTACAATTGTTTTAAAAGGTCTGCTGAGGCTACCTCATGTAATACACATGGATGCTTAATAGAACAGCCCAATACACATGAAAATGATCTGATTACGCACAAGATAAACCTGTTTCATCGTAACTTCCTTCAACCTTGCTATTCAAGATACCATTCTTCCTACCAGCAATGTTCACAGAAACCCTAATTAAGATATGTGGGTTAATTGTTAAACAAGCTGATAAGTGCTAAATAAGTTTGATCCTTGTGTATGTATATTTCCCCAGCCACAATACAAGCTCTATTGCAGGACTGGGCAAGAAGCTACATCAACAAGTGCAAGACTCATTGCAGCCGCTGAGTTCAGCCTCTTCCCCTTCCCCTTACAAAAGAAGACTCTTTTTTCACCCCATTGAGATGCTTCGGAACAAGATGAATTCTCGAACAAAATTTCAAGAAGATTTCCTCAACAATTTAAGTGCTCTCTGGCAGTTACTTTCTCGAATCAAAACATATCAAAATTAGCGGGTCCATCGTTCGGTTGTTTGATTTCTTCTCAAAGAAGCAAAAAAGGAATCAAATTGTAGACGGTAAAAGGAAGATACCCTCATGAAATCTTAATACATCACCATAAAAAATTTAGCAGGGAGGCAAAATAAAAGGAACGGAAGAAATAATCCGATGAAAAATGTTGTGGTTTGACAAAATCTAAGCAAAATAGAGACGAACAAAAGATCAGTGACCTCAATCAAGCGGTGCGATTGTTTCCCCCTTGGCGGCGCTTTGCCCGTGACCGACAGGATGGCGAGGGCAGAAAAGAAGAGATGAGATCCGAGTGCACGAGGATACGAGCCGGAGACTATAAGCGAGAAAGCGAACCCGAGCGAGAGGAGCTCATGTCGATGTCCATCAGGGTGGCTGATCTGCGCCGTTCATCACGCTTTAGAGACAGCTTGATGGAGAGGGGCCAAACCCTTTAGCGTGATTATGAATCTGCCTCATCTCAGAATCAACGGTTTTGATTTGGGGTTCATAACTTCCTCATTCGAAGAGTAGTTTTTTTATTAAAAATAATTTAAAATAAAAATTATATATATAACAACAACAAAAACATGAAAAAATCACCAACCAATCAGATACAAGTAATTTTCTTCTATTATATTATATATAAACTAAAGGACAATAGGATACTTCTATTTCCTTAATTTATGTATAATTTTAGGTGAAAATTTTGATATCATTTTTGCAAAGTCATTATATTGGTTTAGTTGGAATCATTTAATAACATTGGCAAGGATTCTGCTCTCTAGATCTTGTACATATGATTATATATGATCTTCGATTTCATTACGAGATAGTAGGAGTCCATCTTTTGAAGCTTAGTTTTGGATGAAACCAAATGTTAGAAAATAGAGGCAGGTTAATTATAGATTATCCATATAGTTAATTACATACCTTTAACATATCGATTCTTACATTTTAAAAAATTATAAAATTATATTAATATTTATATAATTATGAAAATGATATATTTAGATATGTATGTACTGATGACATCAGTCTTACTAATGAAAATATGAAAATAAAATATGAAAATAAAAGACAGTAAGGTAATTTTACGTTCGGTGATGAACGATGATGCTATTGGAGTCGATACTGATACAGTTGTCTGACCGCCTTCGACGATGATAAGGTTTGCTCTCACTATAATGCCACCCATCTCCACGAGGAGCGCACCGCCAATCTCATTGTCGCTTGTCTTGCATCGCTTTACATCTATGTCGACACTAACGTAGTTACCGAGTAATAATTGTATCAGCATCGATACAAATAGTAGTAGTTGCCTCATCATTGATTCAATGGACGAATCTCGACCTCAACCCAAAGCTAGAGTCGTCGAAGCTCCTATCGCTCCTCCATTATTGTGCCAGTTCCGACACCACCTCTCGCCAAGTGACCCTTGCGACGTTAGGCAACTGCATGGCTCCTATCGCTCCCTCATTATTGTGTCAGTTCCGACATCACCTCTCGCCAAGCGACCCTTGCGACGTTAGGCAACTGCATTCGATGCCAACGCAGATGCAAAAGCAACGACAGGACCGCTCAACGAGAGATGATGTCAAAACTGACATAACAACAATGAAAGCTCTAGTGACCCCAGCCTCAGGTTGAGGTTGAAATCTGCCTAACTGGTTAAGGACGAGACAACTAATATCTTCACCATAGACGTCACGATAACCACCAACGTCAATGCAATTGTCAATCAGTGCAACTAACTACAAAAAGATATTATAAAGAGATATAATGTAATTAACCCAAAGGACGAAGATTAAAACTATCGTGTAATAAAACATAAGTCTGATCCAAAACACCAAAATTACACCAAAAGAAAAGACAAATTAGTCAATAATGAATGCCTACTGCTCACCATGCATCACACTTGGAGATGAACATCTTAAAGTTCACCTGTCTCATTTAATTTGCCAAAAAAATCTAATGAAACAGTACCACCTTCCATCTAGAAGAGTAAGCATGATTTCTATTACAATACAACTCAAAATAGAGGCAAATGCAGATAACATAGTAAAACTACCAGAACTAGGAAAATGGGGATGCAAAGATGAAGACATTTGGCCAGCATATATCATAAAATGGGTTCTTTCATAGTTTACCACAAAGATACAGTTATAGTACCAAAGAAACAAAGGCGTCTCCACAGCTAACTATCTTGAACTTGAATTACAGTAACTCTTAAGACAAATGACAAATTGCAGTAAAGAAGATCAAAAAAAATTTAACCAAAGCTTTTCATTCCATCCAAATGTTTTAGCTGGCACCATGGTCTCCCTCCTATCCAAGCTCAACTAGTGCTCTCTTGGTCGTATAGGCGACTACTGTTCCTCAGCAATTGTTCCCCTCTCACTGACATAAATTCCATCCAAGAACTTTCTTATATCCTTGTTCTTCACATGGCATTTCTGTTGAACATAAAACAAAACGTAGGTTTCAAGAAATTAGGGAAAATAAGTGGCTGTCTTAACGACAAAAAGAGCAAAACATGACAACCCCTCATATCCCTTATATATTTAACTAAGGTAGTAAACAGTTGACCTGGTTGATCAAAGCAGCAGAGCGAGAAACAAGTTCAACATCATTCCCATCAAGGACAAGCTCATCCTTAACCTTTTCAGACCGTAAAATTGTCACACCATTAAGCATATCAACTTTCCGCACCTGCAACAATGATGAATTCACATATCAGGTAGAGAACTTGGCAGACCACTTTTTGAAGCATTGAATTCACTCAGCAATATCTACATATTTATCTTCTTAATGTGCTGAAGGTGAATGATTTAAGAGAACAACATCTTTCAGTCTGGACAATAATTAAAATCAGTGCATTGAATAGAAGGGAAACTTAGTTGAATGGCATCAGAAAAACCATGTTTTGAACTGCTTGTATATAGCATTTGATTGATTATCAGAGTAAATCTGAATGATGTTCGAAATGCACTGGAATTTGAATCAGAATTGCCAAATTTCATGATATTTGGTTCAACTCCAGAATCAAAATTAAAATAAACTAATGTTGGTCACAATTAGTCATCTACAAAATATTATATCAATCAATCTTATTTTTGCTATCGGTATAATTATCTTTTACATAGTTGTGCATTACTACCTACATTATCCTATTCTCAAAGTACATATGAAGCAGTTTTCTGTATATTGTTATTACTAAATTATACTATTTATTTTTTGAAAATCTACTCTTTGTTAAATATATTTTATAGTATTTTATGTGTATGTTATTTGTATCAATATCATATTTATACATATTCATACTTTGTGCTTTATATGATTTTGTTTCTACATTATCTTATGCTTTAGTATCATGTCAAAGTTATATTTAGATCCCTATACTTACAAAAGCAAAACATTTAACCCCATTATTTCAAATCTTTAACTTTATAAAATTATCTTTTTAACCCTGTATAGGAATCTCAATATTTTACTTTTGTAGGTATAGGAATCTCAATATAATTTTTAAAAGTGTAGGGATCGAAATGTTAAAAAAGGATAATTACAGAGGATAATCTGTGATAAGCCTTATTATTAGTTCTCCCAAAATGGAATTTAGATTCTCATTCCCAAACCAAATACTGGAAATAAAGTAATGAAATCTTATGAACCCAATGCCACCTTAGAAAAAATGAATCACTATTCAAACATATTCATTCTCATTTTAATTTCAGTAAATCCCACAAACCAAATGCCACTTTAGAGGAAAATGCAACAGTACACAACACACTTTATTTCTCATCTGTTTGAAAATATTTAAAATTCCAAATCTAGAGCCAATATACAAAAATTAAATGGGTAAAGAAAACAAACAGATGAAATGCATGAGATCAATCCATCTCCACAAGGTCCGCTAATTTGATGAATTTAAAACTGTTTCTAAAGCAACACATCGCAGATACGTGGAGAGCAATAAGCATATGAACTGATGGAAAATGCTAAGTTGGTGAATTCCAAAGGAGGTAGACAAAGGGTCAGTGACTATGTTGATTAATTATTTTTTTCTTTAAACACATATAGCAAAGTGGTTAGTTGTTATTGACACCCTTAACTTCTATGAAGTGCCAATAAAGGGGATTATAAAAGAACTCCTTCATGATGCAGGATCCGGATGAAAGGTAAGATGCATGTCCAGTATTTGACATCCTACTAACATAGAGCATGCCTAGTGAAAATCATTTGGTAAATTACTCCAGGTTCCAGTATTTTACATCTAAAGAAATTCAATAGCGTTGAAACATAGTCTTATGAGTGTTGGTAGTCAACAGATATAAATCCAAAATACCCAACATTTTCTTGATGATACATAAACCCATTGCTGCACGAAAATTCTGTCACTAAAGCCTCCCATCTGATGAAATACAACAGTATTTGCATAAAATGTCTAGTGAAACAATCAAACAAGTAAATCAGATTTATATCACATGAAAATAGATGATAAAATGATAACTTTAACGGCATAGAAGAAAGATGGCAATCTTTGAAGAATCATTTTGCTGCGCAAAGATTTTATAATCAAGGCCCATGTGATCACATATCACATCTTTTTCGTAGGATATTTAGTGGAATGGAGAACATACGACAAATCTACCATACCATAATCACACTAAAGAAGTAAAAGTGGTCTGTGTCTGTAAATCCATGTTACAAGACAGATCTTTCCATGAACAAATGTTCAATTTCTGAACTAGTCTGCGGACAAAACATGTACATTTGCATAGCTTACTTAAAACCAGAAATTTCCTTGACAACTCTCCCTCATATCACCCAACAATAGCGTCTGACCCACAAAAAGTGGCAACGACTTAACATAGACTAGCGATAACACAGACAACGAATATGAATAGAACGGAAAGGGTAAGATCGAATGAGATCGTACCTTTTTCTCACCAAGAAAGTTCCTGATCTCGATGCAGCTGTTGCTGTTGGTGATGGAGGCATTGATGGGAAAGTGGGCGTAGACTAAACGCATCTTGTAGCGGTACCCCTTGGTGACTCCGGTGATCAGGTTCTGGATGTGGCTGATGGAGGTGCGGATGGCGGCGGTGGTCTTCCGCGAGCCGAACCACGCGTCCACCTTCAGCTTCTTCCCGCCCTCGATGAGCTCGAAGTCGAGGTTGAGGTGCTTGAAGTCGCGGGTAAGCTTGCCGCGCGGGCCCTCCACCTCCACGATCTTGGCGTTCACCTTCACGGTGACCCCCTCGGGGATGTCCATCGTCTGCGACGAAAGGATGGTCTTCATCTCCGGTGGCGATTGGGAGAGATCGCTCGCTCGTTGCGCCGCCTCCGCAAAGGCTATATGAGCACGAATGGGCGATGGGCGGACAAGCACAAACGCTATCGAGCCCTTTTATAGGTGCGTTCATTTAGGTTTTGGGGTTCCTTCTTTAGAGAGCCAAGGAGCGCTAGGGTTTGGAAACTTTAGATCACGACCGTTCGATAATGAGGAGGGTCAGTGGATGGTGAAGATCTTTTCTGGACCATACATTAATGGAGATTATTTTTTTTTGTTAAGCAAGATTTTTTCTTTTCTTTGTGATGTCTAATCTTAGTGAGGGATGCAAAGACATGAATAGCTATACTCTAATGTCATTTTTACTAGCCAATCTTTATTCTCTTAAATACGTGATGAAAAATATATTTTCTAATTTTATTTTAAAATATTTTTTTTAATAGCATGACACATGACACACTTAAAAAAAAATTTAAAATAATTTTTTTAAAATAATTATATTGCGATATATTAGGATCAATAGTCATGTCAATATTAAATCTTAATTATACATATTCATCCTAACCATATAGAAAAATCTCTTTTAACCGTTTAGTGTGACACCATATATAACAGCCTCTCTAAGCATAAGAAGTAACTCTCTCTTATTATATTATCCTTTTTTATCTTAAAAAAATAGATGATTATTTTATTCTTTTCACTCATCACTTTTAAACTTTTTTTAATAAAAAAAATAAAATTTTGATCTCATACTTCACTACTTTATTGTCAATAATCAAGATTTTTATCAACTAATCCATATAAAAATTTCATAGAATAGTTCATTCTTTTATAATTAGATATAAAAGTTCATCTTTTTAATAAGGAATTGAAGAATCATTTTTATCACTCGTATACATATTTATATACCACGTGTTACTTGATCAATAAACTTTTTATAATTTTAATTTTTACACGTATGGCACATTAAAAGCTTTATGATTTTACCTTGAGGTATCTCAATGATATGGCACATTTTGGTATCACGCACGTGGACCTAAGTAAGTAGACATGACGATCCACACATAGAACTTCAAGTCCGATATGACACGTAGCACACACGTGACCGACAACCGCTCGTTGCTCCCTCCGTACGAACGATATCATCACGGTACAATCATCTCGGAAAGCTCGGGGCAGCATCGTGCGACTTCGATCCGTGCAAGTCGATCGACGCTCTCACAAAAGCTTAAGTCGGTCGCCCGAGAAGCCGACCACAGTTAATTGACCCTATATGGCCAACTCATCCTCACATGTATAGAAGCTAACCCTCCTTGATCAGGAAGGAGGACACTCAACTCCCCTTAACTTCACAACACTGACTTGAACTTCGGAGGGGTCGAATCGGAAAATCCCCCTCCCGACCTCGATCTTTATGCAAGAATCGACAACGAAGCATCAGCAACCCACCGAGGGAGAACCGCTCTCGGGAGATGACGCTTGGACTTAATCCAACCCGACGTCGACGTGACCTGAGCATCCGCATGGGCAACCTTGCGCATCCGGAACTAGATCGAGCCGTGTTGACACCTCAGCCACAACATAAAAGTTCACAAACACCCTGATAACTCTGCGCACATGAGTCGAGACAGATCGATCATGATATTAATGATTTTTTCATTAGAAAAAACAGTATCTTTCTTTGCCGCAATGCATCGATCATCTTCAAAGTCGCGAGTAGTTTGGTAGACCTATAGAGATACACAAGCCCGGCCCATCCATTGTGTTTTTGTCATTTATACCCTCGATCATCATATATTTTGCATGCACACCCTCGAGAAATCCCAAGCTGTGACTGGGCCCAAGAAATTATGTGTATCAAAGTAAATGATGTAAAAATTAGGACTTTTGCTTCACACGATTTCATCAGATAAAACATCGCTTCATTAGTCTAATTAAACATCCAAAGGAAACACACAGCGTGATCGCCCTCACGTGCTGCTCCTGTCGGTCACATGACGCTGCACGCGTTGACGTCGTCGTCGTTGAACATGTTGCTGACGGCGTCCTCCCCCCGCTGCGGCACCGGGACACGGCCGTGCCGGTCCCCGTTGTAGCCGTGCCTCCAGTAGTTGTAGCTGCCCCGGAACGACTCCTCGTCGTGGAAGTAGTTCTTCTCGGTGGTGAAGTAGAGCGGGAGGTCCGGGTTGGGCCAGAACTCCGCCTTCTTCCCGCTCCGCCGCACCTCCTTGAGCACCTTGTTCCGCTCCACGTACCCCGTCACCGTCACCTTCTCCAGCTCCAAGTCCACCTCCACCGAATCAACCCCTGCGCAAGAACAGTCACTACCTACTCTCAAATCAAGTGAGTCGTAAGCAGTAGCCACCTCTGAGCTTTAGAAGAGCATGCTTGACGACCCTCTCGCAGCCCGTGCAGCACATCCTCACTTTCAGCTCCACCGTCTGCACGAGAGACAGTAGAAACATTACTTCATATCTGCAACAAGCCTGTGTCAACGTGAGGCAAACAAGGGATGAAGGAGAGAACCTGCAAGGACAGAGGCCTTCCCTTGGACATCTTCCTACCGTTACTCTTCTCCTTCGTGTAATAGTAGCTGTTGCTATAACTCTTACGGTGGTTGCGCTGATACCCAAAGGGGTAGTAAATGATAGATACCAAAGAGTCCATTGCTCTTCCCAGTGCTGTCGCCATGGCCTACTGGTTACAGACTAAAAGGAAACATGGATGAGATAAGAGTCGAGACGAGAGCAGGCAGCACAACATTAATATTCTCGACACGGCATCCCAACATCTGATCATATTATGCTATCTCGATCTTAATATACTAATATTCCTTTGGTTCCCTTCCTTACATTTCTTTCCTGCTAAGCCTTGTTAGTTCCCTCGTGCTCTGTGTGTGTTCTTTGTAATAATTTAGCCTCTGGAAAGGGAATGGTATCCGAACCCTTTCCTCTTATATCCGCAGGATAACATGGAGCGAGCCAAAAGGAATCGCGTATCCAGTAGTGGAATTGCAAAGGATATCAGCATAAGAATCATATGATATGATTTTTAGGATATGATGATTGTACCACTAACAATGCATTTGTGTTGAGATTGTAGCAACTCTCATCGGAGTTTTCTGCTATTCGTTGCTGGTCTTAATTCGCTTCAGTTCTGATGGAGTGTACATATTTGATGCATGATTTGAAATGCATGAAGCAAAGTTTTCTCCCCTGCAAAGTGAAGTGAAGGACCAACGGGGAACTAATGCTAATGAAAAGATGTACTTGGAAAGGCGACGCTCGAGGTTGAAGATATCTTGCTCGAGTCCGTAGGTGATCTTTAGCATCTGCACTCTTGCTTGCACCACAGCACCTTGAAGTCCAGATGGACACCGGATCCCAAAAAAAGTGAGAAAAAGAAAATAATTTATGGAAAATTAGGAGATTCCAAGCTTCCTCTTGAAGGCAACACTTTCTCCTTTCTATAATCTAAATCAAAACAACATGCTAACACGTGATTTCCTTCCGGAAAACAGAGGACTTTGCAGATGGACTTTTCTGTATTGATATGAAATATGCTTGCATGTCTATACAGCCTGTTATGCAAACTCAACACTGAGATCTGTAATGAAATCTACGCTAAATTGACAGAAGGATCAAACCTTAGAAAGGTCAACCCCATGCATCTGATACTGTATTCGGAAGATCGTATGTTGTTTTCTCAATCTCCTAGATGTTGCAGGCTGACTGTGAAGATGCTATGCAACTTGCATGACAGGGAGGCTCAAAAGAAAGAATTGGGTAAGCCTTTTGTGCCTTACTAGAGTGATGGCTACACATTAGTTCAGTATGAACTGCACTTGGCATTAGGGAGAATGTTTTGAGGATAATGATGAAGAAGCAACTCATCTTTTTCTTCAATATGAACTACATTAAGAGAAAGTGCAGTTGATATAGTGAGTTGAATTCAGTCACTAATGTGTCTAAGCAACTGAGAGAATAATTCATGCCATGGTCACATCGTTTCTAGAAAGAGAAGGCATCTTAAGAGCCACTTAGTTAAAGTAATTGAATCTCACCTTCTCTCTCTCTCTCTCTAGTTTTTGGCACAGTAAAGTGTCTGAATTCTTTGGAGTGAGTCAGTGGCCACCACCTGAAAAGATCTGGTAAATGCCAACTACCATTAGAGAATATGTCTCAAAAGCTCAATCATACTTCACATGTCTGTCTGCTGAAAGTTCACGAGAATTATACCCAAAACCATTGCATCTTTGTTTTCCAACTAAGAGAATAAACTTCAAGCAAAATTTACATCATTCATAAAGTAATCAGATTAAACAACTCATTTCCTGTCTTTTAAGCTAAAGAAATCGGGTCCTGCGTGGACAAGATTAAGTAGAATAGCTGCGCAAAGAGATGCTCTCTCTGTCTATCACTTGATAGAAACGAATTCACTGGATTCTCAGAGCACTTCCTTTAGAATAGTACCTACTAATTGGAGTTCCTTTGCAGCCAAGCATGAAGAAGAATAGATTCATTGGAGTTCTCATCCTCCGAAGCTAACATGCCTGCAGGGAGGGCAACTCTGCTCATCTGATGGGCCCAGACGTAGAGCTCTGCCGAGGAAGAGAGGTCCACGAACATGCTCACACCACTCAAACGTGCAGTCACTTCGCAGGAGCAGCACCTCTCACTGTTAATGTTACGTACAGACTCGCCGCCCCCAAAAACAATTACCCAATGAATTTTCTGTCATAATAAATCATGTCATAATAATTACTGGTGAGCTGTTCTCCTCCAAATTTTCATCCTAATGATCGTGCACGTCCGCACGTACGAAGGCCGGCTATGCTACGTAGCAGCAGTCATGGTCTCGTTGGTCACACGTATCATCACGATTATTGACGGGCGTAGGAGACAGGTGAAGCGCGTTGGCCGCTGCATGAAGACAGCTGCTGCTCTCAGTACTCGTTTTGCACGCAGCAGCCGTGGCAGCTGCTGCTGCAGCTGTCTCTGCCTCCCTTCCTACAAAACATGAGAATATGAGATCAAGTGATGGGCAGGTCACGCAGAGCACTCTCTCTCTCTCTCTTTAGATCCTCTCTTAAATTTCCAGTATAACTTTGTCATTGATCGCATCTGATGAGGAGAGAAAGCGACCCAACAGCGAAGCCTCAACGGTATTCCTCAGGGCTGCAGGGCCTATACGGATTCTTCCTGCTTCCTCCTCCCATCCCAAGATGCCCATGCCTTGCTGCACAGTGCTGCATGATGCTGTGGCAGGATGAATCATGCAAACATTGGCACAGTCATTTCACATTTATGTAGCTATAAACGAAAAGGGTCTGCAGGATCATAATCAAAGTAGGGAGGGAAAGGATTCCTTTTAGCTAGAATTGTCACAAGGAAACTGGAGGCTTTGCCTGCAGGGAATTGATGGGCCCGGAAGAAGAAAGAACATGGGGAAAGAGAACTGAGGAATGCATGCAGTGGGCGCCATCAGTTCTCTACGTATGTATTAAATGGACAAGATAACACCACTTGAATGCAGGCACAGAGAGAGAGAGAGAGAGAGAGAGATTACTAGAACAGCTTCCGGTATCATATCAGCTTCATAGGTCCACTGTAGAAGGAGAGGTTGTGGGCACTGCAAGTAGCATCTACCACATGATGATTAATACATACACATGGTATGGAAACCCTCATCCAATTGAATCATGTATCGTATGTATGGTGTCTCAGGATAACATGAAGATCTGTAGAACATAGTTGTTTGCGAGTCCACATCAAGTATAGGTGAGGACACCAACATGACCCTCCCTAACATTGGCATGCATTCCCATCGGGTGGTCCAAACTTTATGCTCTCTACCAATACCATACGACCACATACTGGTGTATACGTGACTCACATGTACTGCACGGCAGTGGAATAACACAAACCAATGGTCCTATTGATAAGGTTCGAACTCATATGTCATGGACTCATAGAAAAGGTCCCCTCCATCACTTTCGCTGGTGGGGGGACTCTCATCGAGCATATGGGAAGCATCTATCCATCACCGAGGCACATATCACGAGGCCTTCTGATAGGGTCATCAAATTGGATCTGATACCTGTTGTGAAATGGGATAAATAAATATATCTACATACACATACACATATACACATATCCATCACCGAGGTATACATCACAAGGCCCTCTGATAGGGTCATCAAATTGGATCTGATACTTATTGTGAAATGGGATGCACACATACACATATACACATATCCGCACACGCACACACATACACATATACACATATCCATCACCGAGGTATACATCACGAGGCCCTCTGATAGGGTCATCAAATTGGTTCTGATACTTGTTGTGAAATGGGATGCACACACACACACACACACACACACACACACACACACACACACACACACACACACACACACACACACAC